AGTGAACTGCAGAGTGCCCTGCCCCAGGCAGAACTTGCCCCTCCACAAAGCCCAGATACTCAGCTACAGCCCTCTGAAAATTCTGTTGCTGTCTCCACAAATGATAACAGTGCAGATGGTATTGTGCAAACCAACAACGATAGTGCTAATCCATTTGATGCAATCACCTGTGACGTCCCAACTGCTGCTACAAGTAATCAATTTCTTGATGAAGGTACAGTTAACCCACCTCATGTCCAAAAAGTCATTGTTGAGCATTTCATTCGCAGTGACTCCACACCGTCTAGCTACAGTCAAAGTAGGATCCGCACATTCTCTGGACGACTGCCGAAACCAAACGGAGAAGTTGATTATGACTCCTGGCGTACTCAGGTAGACCTACTTCTTAATGACGCGTCTGTCTCTGATTCACAGAAAGTAAGGAGAATATTGGAAAGTCTCCTCAGCCCAGCAGCGGACATTGTTAAGCCGCTCGGGACAAATGCAACCCCTCAAGCTTATCTCACCCAGCTCGAGTCAGCATTTGGAGTGGTCGAAGATGGAGAGGAGCTATTTGCGACCTTCCTGGGCTCTAACCAAAACTCAGGTGAAAAACCCTCTGTCTATTTGGGCCGCCTCCAGACTCTCCTTACCAAAGCCGTAACCAGAGGCGGAGTTGCAGCTGCAGAGTCTGACAAGTACTTACTCCGGCAGTTCTGTAGGGGATGCTGGGACCAGAGTCTGATCATTGGCCTGCAGCTTGAACACAGGAAACCCAATCCCCCCTCATTCCCAGAATTGTTGTTGCTTTTGAGAACGGAGGAGGACAGGAGAGCAGCAAAGATGGATCGCATGAAAAAGCACCTTGGAAGCACGAAAGCTGTTGCACATGTTCATTCAGTTATGAGCATGCCAGTATTCGAACCTGAAGCTGCCCCCACTACAACAAAGAAACACGAGACAGATTCTAAACTAGAAAAGGAAGTTGCAGAGCTGAGGAAACAGGTTGCAAAGCTAATACAGCAAGGAAAGAAAGGAGAAAGGCATGAGGAAGTGCAGAGCCGTCCAGCCCAAAGTGAACCACCTGATAAGACTGAAATTTTACTCGCGCAAGCTTCAAATAGAGACTCAAACCTCCAATCTCCGACACCACCTAAGCCCTGGTTCTGTTTTAAGTGTGGGGGTGATAGCCACATCGCTGCAAAGTGCACTTTTGAGCCCAATCCAGGCCTTGTCCGGAAAAAGAATGCAGAGCTTAAAGAGAAAAGAAGCAAATTCTGGGCCAAGCAAGCAGCCAACAAAACATCTTTAAACTTCTAGAGGCTCCTGGCTGGGGACAACCAGGAGCTGAGGACAAAGAAAGTCCCCTAGCAATGACTCACAATGAGTGCTCTTCTGGAAGCAGTAATACTTGCAAATTGCCGCCTGGACTGGTGGGACCTCGTTGTACTTCGAACATCTCTGTCGGAGACATGAAATGTGATGCCATTCTCGACACTGGATCCCAAGTAACGACAATTTCAGAGACTTTTCATTCTAAATACCTGTCAAACTTACCTGTTCAGTCGATACATAATCTTCTCGAGGTTGAAGGGGCTGGAGGTCAAGCAGTACCTTACCTTGGGCATGTGGAAGTCCACTTAACCTTCCCTGAAAATGTTACTGGAACAGAAGAGCAAATCACAGTTTTAGCGCTCATTGTCCCTGAAAACCAGTTCAATAGCAAGGTTCCCGTCTTAATTGGCACAAATGTCTTGCTCAACTTATACCGACGTGGAATAAGCTATGACAAATCCAGGTTTCTCAGACGATCAGACAGTTTTGCAGTACTGCTCCAACATGTGGCCCGAGTACGCAAAAGTGAAGCCAAAGCTTGTCTTGTAAAATTGCACGGAGAAAAGCCCATTACCATTCCGGCTAGACACACAATGTGTCTTTTTGGAGATGTTAGAGTTGGAAAAGCCAATCCCAATATGACCTTTGTCGTTGAACACCCCGAAACTTCCTTCTTGCCGGGTGGGCTGTTCATTCAGTGTGCACTGATTAACATAAACACAAGAGCTTCAAACAAGATCCCTGTAGTCCTCAGCAACACCACAGATCACACTGTCACCTTACCTCCAAAGTGTGTTATTGGTGAAGTGTCTGCAGTTCAAAATGTAATGCCCATGACCTCCTCTGCACAAGTGGATTCGCAAACATCAAACGGCAAACATTCATTTAATCTGGATGACTCCCCAATGCCAGAGGAGTGGAAGACACGCATTCGAGATAAACTGAACTCCATTTCTGAGGTGTTTGCATTTGATGAGCTGTCATTTGGCCATACCACTGCCGTGAAACATACCATCCGCCTGCAGGACGGGACGCCCTTCAAAGAAAGATCCAGGCCGATACACCCCAGTGATCGAGAAGCTGTCAGACAACACCTTAGAGAGCTTCTGGACGCTGGCATAATAAGAGAATCCGAGAGTCCCTTCGCATCCCCAGTGGTTGTCGTGAAAAAGAAAAATGGAAAGATCAGACTATGCATTGACTATAGGAAGCTTAACAGCCGCACTATTAACCCCTTGACGCCTGAATTAATTTCCAATTATTAAAAAAAATTATTATCAGTGTTTTTGCTTTCAAGCTGATGCTAAATTAAGTGGAGATTGTTAATTTGTCTGTAGCACATAGTACAGGTATAGTTTTAGGTATGGCGCAAATTTGCGACAACAGGCATACGCCTAACTTTTGGTATGGCACAAATTAGTGACAACAGGCAAAAACTGCAAATGTATTAAAATGACCAAATTAATTTATTCACAATTATTACAAGTGTAAATGCTGTAAAGGATGTAAAGATTATGCTCTTTCAACAGTAAACAGAGCTCAACCATTTCATAAAATGCCACAAAATACAAAACTTACTAAAATTACTTACAAAATACTAAACTTTTAAAAAGCACAAGAAACAAAACACTCGTTTAGGCACAGGTTAACGTTGCACTTTTCACATTTGAACACGGTGTGGCGGGAGTAAGGCCAAGAAACAAAAACACTCTTTACTCATAACTCATAACTCTGTCTATTTACTGACCTTGTGGACAGACACAGACTTACTCATGGAACAGACGGAAGCAGTTGTTGCGTTTGTTTAGGCACAGGTTAACATTGCACTTTTCACATTTGAAGGCAGAATGGCCTGTACAGAGTGGGAGTTTGCAGCGTTTACGTATCTCTGTAACCACTGGGAAGTGACCCACAGAATCTGATCTGACCTCCTGTATAGGAATTACCTGAGCTGGACCTCGACGTTTTTTCTTTTCATACTCCCTTTCAACATCCAGTGATGGGGGCCGGCCCCTTTTCTTTGCCAGATCCTTGCCTTGCATGCAAAGTGCTTGTGCAATAGATGTCCTGAAACATAGCAAATCGTTCTGCTTCTTCTTTAGAACACCGAGTGCATCACAATCACGGCGATACAAAAGCCAACTGTTGACAATGATCATATCCACAAAGTGAAAAAACAACCTATGGTAGAACTTTTTTGACCTGATGTGGATGCGGTAATATGCAATGAGTGCATCAAGAGCATCAACACCGCCCATAAACTTGTTGTACAAGGTGATGATGCTTGGGCGTTCCACAGTGACTTTCCTTTTCAACTTCCTGTCCCATCTCTCCACGTTAGTCATGGGCTGGGCACTGGCAAAAGAGCTGGCAACAATCACCCCTCTGTTGTCAAACCATTTCACTGCTCTCATTTTCACCCCGTCTACCACAACCGCTTGCTCTTCAAATGCCCCTCGTCCTTTCTTCTTCATTTCACTGTCTTCACTGAAACTGCACCCTTGCAGGCGGTTTTTCTGCACAGTCCCAAGGCCAGGAATTCCCATCTTTGCAAGCGCAACAAACAAATTCAAAGAGGAAAACCAGTTGTCAAAGTACAGCAGGTGATTGATATTAGGACGAATAACCTGTGCAAGCTTCAGCACAATGTTCCCACTTGCACCAATGTCTGGTTGTCCTGGTACAGGATCAATTTTGCCTGCAAAAATGTCAAATGAATGCACCAGGCCCCTTGTGTCACAGAGCACGAAGATTTTGTAGCCCCATTTGTATGGCTTCTTTGGGATATATTGTTTCAAGCCTGATCTGCCTTTGAATGGCACCATTTGTTCATCAATGCACAACATTTGATCTTGAGGGAGAGCCTGAAACTTGGGAAGCAGCGAATCAATAAGTGGCCTTATTTTGAAAAGCCTGTCATCATTGTTGGGTGCCATGTTGTTATTGAAATGAATGAAACGTTTGATTTCTTCCCATCTGTCCCGGCATATCACATCAGCCACTTGCGAAAATCGACATGCACTGGACCAGTACATCCTTGAACGGGGCAAATGCGAAATACTCATGTATACCGCAGTGCCAATGAACTGCTCCAACTCTTTCTGATCCAATTTCAGAGCACTATTTGGATTTTGTTGTGTGCAATACAGATTGCTTTGTTCTACAATACTATTTACAAGATCTACATCAAAAAAGTCTCTGAAATATTGAATGGGCTGTCTTATTTTGTCCGCATTTGGAAGAGCACTTTGCCACGTTGGAATGGCTTTTTCAGAACTCCGCGGATTTACTGTCTCCCATGCTACCCTTTGTCTTTTTTTTGTAGAAGCAGTTGATGCAGTAGCACTGGTCCCAGGAAGTGCATCTTCATCACTGCTGTCATCAGCACCCTCGCTGCTGCTGCTGCTGCCTTCATCACCTGATGTAGAACATAAAAAAAAAACATTAGAAAAGTGCAGACAATTTATCTACATAACATACACATGTCACCTTTTTATTTATATTTATAATATGTTACCCCTTTTTAAATTAGTTTTATTATTCATTGTACATAAGATACCTCTATTTACCATTACTTATTTGCAGATTATACAGTTCTCCTTTGTTTGCACATTTTCCTAACTTTTTTGCACCCCTTTAGAGTTTAGAGAGCAGATGTAACAAGTGCATTTCTCCAAAAATTCTACTCAAAATGCATTATTACTGCTGTTTTCATCACCGGGTTTAGGAGTGTAGTCCTCATCATCGTCGTCATCACTGTCACTGAGACAGCTGTCGTCACTGGCGGGCGGGGGAACTCTAGTTTGCGGTCCAATAGGTCCAGCTTGAGGTCGCTTGCCATAAAACATGGACGGTTTCATTTTTTCTCTGTGTAAAAGAAGGGATAAAATGTAATACGCTATTGATACAATTATTATAGATATTAACTTGAATGGCATGTTCTAAAAAAATGCGTTCTAGCGCTGTAATAGGTCTAAATACTACGAAAATGCCGTCACTGTGGCCATTTCGCGCGCCACCAGATGGGGCTATTGAACAGCCGAATGTCGCTAATTCATTCCGTACCAAAATCGTCAAATAACAAAAAATATATCCATCACACGAAGTCCATTTCAATACATAATCCGCAGATGGAAACGATGAACTGCTACATATTTTTATTTTGGCACAACTCACCTTATATTGGACGAGATCGTCAAAGTTTTGCGCTCGATTTGCGGAAATGCTACTTCCGCCAAGTAGCTATCTTAACCCGGATGTGGTTCCTTCGGTGACCGGTCCTACGAGAAACAAGTGATTGCAAAAGGTTCCTAGGTACGTAATGAATGTGCGCAAACAGGCATAAAGGGAAACATGCGTTATATCGGCCGCAATCTTGCAGGAAGAGGTATGTCGCAAATTTGCGACATACGGCGTTAAGGGGTTAAGGATGCTTACGCTCTTCCTAACATCGAGGAGACGTTTTCTGCCCTGAGTGGAGCAAGGTGGTTCTCGGTGATGGATCTAAAGTCTGGTTATTACCAGGTGGAAATGGTGGAAGAAGATAAACACAAAACTGCGTTCACATGTCCGTTAGGCTTCTACGAATTCAATCGTATGCCGCAAGGTGTCACCAACGCACCTAGCACCTTTCAGCGCCTTATGGAAAAGTGTGTTGGTGACCTACATCTGAGCGAGGTTTTAGTGTTTTTAGATGATGTAATTGTCTTCTCCCAGACTCTAGAAGAGCACGAGGCAAGGCTCATGAAGGTGCTTGGTCGTCTCAAAAGCTATGGCCTAAAGCTATCCCCGGAGAAGTGCCAGTTTTTCAAGTCCTCCGTGAAATACCTTGGCCATATTGTGGACGCTCAAGGAGTTCACACAGACCCAGATAAAGTGTCAGCTCTGAAAGATTGGCCCCGCCCTGGAAACAGAAGAACTAAAACGCTTTCTCGGGTTTTCGGGGTATTACAGAAGATTTGTGGAGGGCTACTCAAAAGTTGCCAAGCCTCTCAACTCTCTCACTGCTGGGTATTATCCACCTAAAAAGAGGGGTAAAGTTTATAAAACATCAAGACCCAACACTGGCATAAGCCCCAGAGCACCCTTTGGCTCACAGTGGACGCCTGAGTGCGAGTCCTCTTTCAGAACACTAGTTGAAAGGTTGACATCGGCCCCTGTACTCGCTTTCGCAAATCCTAAGCTCCCGTATGTGCTACATACAGACGCTTGCTGTGAGGGGTTAGGAGCAGCTCTTTATCAAAATCAAGATGGAAAGCTTAGAGTAATAGCCTATGCCAGCAGAGGCTTATCCAAGAGCGAGAAGAACTACCCTACTCACAAGCTAGAATTTCTAGCGCTAAAGTGGGCCGTTTGTGAAAAATTCTGTGATTATCTGTATGGTACAGACTTTTCAGTCCTAGCAGATAACAACCCGCTTACATACGTCCTTTCATCCGCAAAGCTCGATGCAGCCGGACACCGCTGGCTAGCAGCCCTCTTAACCTTCAGTTTCAACATCAAGTATCGAGCTGGACGTGCTAATGGTGATGCAGACGGACTGTCAAGGAGACCTCAAGCAGAACCTCAAGCGGATCATGAGTACCTGCAGGAAAAAGAACGGATCAACTCAATGACAAAACGCCTTCTAGAGGGGGAGTTTCCATCCGATGCAGTATCAGCTGTATGTCAACACCATTCAGTAACCATGCACTTACCTGGCCTTGCTGAATCCCTCGCTGTTGACGGCTCCTCCTTACCTGATCTATTCACTGATACTGGACAAGACACTTTACCTGGCATGACAAAAGAAAACTGGCATGAAGCACAAAGAAACGATCCATCAATTGGGAAAGTCATCACTCTGGTCAAGAAAGCAGTGTTGCCAACTCCTCAGTAAGGAAAGTAGCTATTGGCTGTCCCAAAAGTCGCTAGAAGTCGCTAAATGACGTCATCGCCTAATTTGCATAATTTGCAATTTGCAAATAACTGTAACGGACGCTGTAGGAGAGAGGAATAAGGTCGTGGGAGAGACAAAAGTGAGTAAAAACACCCTAAATATGTTTAGAACTACAAATGTACAAAAATAATTTCAACATTAACAACATTTAATGATTTTAATGCTTTGTCTAGATCCACATTACACACATCAGTTTTGTCCTGTATTGTTAAATGTTATAACAGCAAATGTAATCAAAAGATTGTTATGTAGGGTGAAATTGCTAGCTCTACAACCAACCCTCCTCCTTTATCCGGGCTTGGGACCGGCAAAGTGACCCAAAAGACACACTCTGGCAGAGTTACTTAGGTTTATTTTTGTAAGTTTTTTTTTTTTTTCATAGTTTGGCATAACAAATGATTTAATGTGACCCACTACTGAGAGAAAACAAAGTCACGGACAGAGCTGCCGCGGATGGAGTGGGGGGTAGTGGGGGGTGGCGGTGGTAGGAGTGGCCGGGGAGCTTTGGATGTGTGGTGGTGGTGGAGCTGAAGTTCAGTCTGCAGCAGCCTGAAAACTTCCTGTGCTTTTGAGTCTCCTCTCTCTCTCTCTGCTCCGCCCATAGACTGTAGCTGGGACTGCTGCGCAAGGCTACTGTGAGACTGGCCGCCTGTAGTGCTTTGGGACGGGGGAGGGGCTCACGTTGAGGACAGCAGAACAATACGTGCTTCACGAGTCTCCAAAACACCAGATAAGTCGCCAAAACACCAGATAAGTCGCCAATAACACCAGAAAAAGTCGCTAGATTTGTCGCTAGTCGCTTTTTTGAAAAAAAGTCGCTATAGGGGTCTGAAAAGTCGCTAAATCTAGCGACAAAGTCGCTAAGTTGGCAACACTGCAAGAAAGGACAAAAGCCCCACTTCAAATCTGTAAAAGCTGAGTCATCTGAAGTCAAGTTGCTCCTTCGGGAGTGGGATAAGCTTGAACTCATTGATGATGTCCTTTACAGGAAATGTTTCGACAGAGGAAACAAAATTCATCAGCTCGTCTTACCCGAGGAATTCAGAGAAAGAGCTCTCAAAGGCTTTCACGATGAAGTTGGTCACCTAGGCCCAGAGCGTGTATTCAATCTTGCTCGTGCCAGATGTTATTGGCCTAAAATGAAAGAATTAGTCGAAACGAAATGTCACACATGCGAACGTTGTTTCAGAAGAAAAGCCCAGCCACAAAGAGCAGCACCCATGGTGAATATTAAGACAACTTACCCGTTAGAACTTGTTTGCATGGACTATTTGTCCCTTGAACCCAACAACCGTGACATCAGAAACATACTGGTCATCACTGACCATTTCACCCGCTTCGCAGTAGCTGTGCCAACAAAAGACCAAAAGGCCAGAACTGTTGCAAAAGCTCTCTGGGAGAACTTCCTGGTCTACTATGGGTTCCCTAGCCGCCTTCATAGTGATCAGGGACGTGACTTTGAATCTCACACGATCAAGGAGCTGTGTTCGCTGATAGGGGCAGAGAAAGTGCGCACCACCCCGTACCATCCTCAGGGGAATCCTGTGGAGCGCTTTAACAGGACCCTTATCAGCATGCTCGGTACCCTTGACGAGAAAGACAAACATCACTGGCGAGACTTTGTGAGGCCTGTTGTACATGCGTACAACTGCACCAGGAATGATGCAACAGGCTACTCACCATATGAGCTGATGTTCGGCAGGCAGCCGACTCTGCCAGTTGACCTCATACTTGGCCTGAAACCTCCAACTGAGACTCATACAACTCACTCAGACTATGTCCAAACCTTGCGCCAGAGACTCAAAGAAAGCTATGCACTGGCTGCAGAGAACTCCAAAAAGTCTGGAGAAAGAAATAAGCACAGATTTGAGGCCAAAGTGAAAACTGCTCAATTAGAAGAAGGGGACCGTGTCTTGGTGAAGAATGTTAACATCCGTGGCAAACACAAGTTAGCCGATAAATGGGAAAGGCCCATCCATATCATTGTCAAACGGATTGACGGTGGTCCTGTGTATGTAGTCAAGCCAGAAACAGGAAATGGCCCTCGGCGTACACTTCACAGGGACTTACTTTTGCCATATGGATTTCTGCCATTTGAGACAACTCCTGATTCAGTGCCACGCCAAAGTAAAGAAACACAAATACCCCTGAGGAGTAAACAAAACCAAGAGATGGAATGTGACTATTTGGACAGAGAAGAAGAAGATGATGGCTACTATGTGAATGAACCTCCACAGTTCACCACATGGGGACCCTATGTGCAAGAGTTCGAAGTTATCCCTGTCAGTGGCTCTCAGTCTTCTCTGAACCCTATGGCTCTTGAATTCAAATCGCCAGAGCCCCAACAAATTCCAGATCACTCAGTTACACCTCTTGAAACAAGTACACTGTTCCATCAGTCCCCAACCCAAAGTGACCATGTCATCATAGACATTCCAGAAAATGAAACGATGCAAAACACATTGGTCACAGACCCGACGCCAGCTCACGACACAGACAAAGCTCAGGAATGTTTCCCTGAAACCCCTGAAAGGCACTCAGAAGTTACTTGTGGGGAAGAACAAAGTGAGCCCAGACGTTCACAAAGAGAAACACATCCCCCTCCCAAGTTCACCTATGAGGAGCTAGGGAAACCCCTAATCCTTGCCCTTAGTCAGTTTTTTGGGAAACTCCAAGACATTATTCCTGACCATCAGTTACCTTGTCAGATTTAACACACATGCAGGGACTCATGTGGTTTAGAGGGGGAGGGTGTAACCCTGTCAATTTTGCCCTCAATAAAGTCCTGAACCGAACTGTAATGCAAACATTTAGAACTAAAGTAAAGTGCAATTACTAGTTCGCCACTAGGTGGCAGCGCACCAAAAAACATTCTTCTTCTGCTGTTCACTGGCATCCATCTTGTTTTTGAGCACATAAGCAAAAGCCTGAAAAACGTGACCCAGAGCAGAAATATATATTAAGATTTGAGATTGATTTAGAAAACGAAACATATCCTCGAGGTTGAAAAAATATAGAAACTTAGACGACATCTGTTACAAAACAAAGTTATCTCGGTGAGTGAAAACTATCATTTTGTGTTGATTAGCTTGAAGCTAAAATGGTGAAATGACTTAAAAATATACATTTCAACGTTGCAGTGGATTACATTGGATAAAAAACCAGTCTGGCTATCTACAATAGCAGTGGATGTTACCCCACAGGTACATTTTGTTGTATTTTTGTACACTAATGAATGCATTTTGAAGGGAAATGATTTTGTTTTGTGAAAAGAATGCCAATTTTGATTTAATGTGATATACTTTAATTTTTGTTTCCCAATTCCAGTTTAAAGGTTATAACATTTAAGTTGTAATATAGAAAATATGGACTATTAAAGACCTTATGACGGGTTTTTTTTTTTTAAATAGTGGATATCAAAATTGCATGACAATGTCAATTTGAAAGAGATTCCGGCAAAAAAAATCCTATATTTTATAAAAAGAACGTGTTTTTCATGAATTTAAGTTGTCTATGCTCTAACCTGTTTGTGACGTCATAGCGGGTTACGCCCATGCATTGAAAACCATGGATCTATGCCACAGGACTGCCTTTTCTCTCTTCTCTCCACTGATGCCCAACACAATACTGCACTCTACAGGTGACAATTGCTGACTACACATAAATTGCCGTTTTGAGAGTGAAAATGTGTGTCAGGTGGGATTTGAACCTGAGTATCTGGATTTGGCAGTCCATCGACACAACCACTGGACTATCTCAGTGACAACGAAATGTTGCATTCTAGTAGTTAATTTAGACTCGCTGTACACGGCCTTGTCATCTTGAATATCCGCGAAAAAAGAACTAATACCAAATTGTAAACAACTTAAAGCGTTGAAACGTACCCGTTCTGACGTCACCAAGGGCTGTGAAGTTTTTTCGTTTCTAAGGGCGTTGCTATGGGGTTATTTCGATTTGGGGGGATCAGACAAAAAAAACAACAACTGATTTTGAAACCTTTAGTAGTTCTCTTCTAATATAAAATGGTATTAAAACTGTATTTCTAAATAAATCAAACCCGTCATAAGGTCTTTAAGTAGTGAAAGATTAAAACAAAGACATTTATTTGAACATTAGTTAATTTTCTGCAAATTTTTGTGTAGACTGGTTTTTTTAGAGGCTTCTTCTGGTCCTGGTGTTCCTTCCGCTGAAGCTGGATCCCTCTCTGTTCGCCCTGGTGCCTGGTTCCCTGGTCCACTGCCTCATCTAACAGCGCTGCAACGGTCCAATCGGGTTGTGTGATATGGACGCTAAGTAAGGGGTGGTTGGACAATTAAAATTTGAGTGCACTCAAGGGTAACTATATTTTGACAGATTTTCTTTTTGTTTTTTCGGTTCATGAGATCTCAAAAGAATAAGTGGCCGAGTTGTACACCAAATGTCATATTTTTGTGTTCTGAACTAAATATTGAATTTTGGATAAGGAAATAAGGAAACATTTGAATAAGACCCACATTACTTAACTCTTTAATCTGTTGTCCTGTGCTTCATTCGGAGTGGAATGGTCTTCTGACCTTATGATTAGTACAACACCAACCTCTTCATTGTACCTAGATTTTTGATAATGCCTACCATAGATTATTAGCCTGCCTACAAGCAGAATTACCACCGTAGGGTTACACTTGCAGTAATCATTGGTTTGAGAGTCTGTTATCAAGAAATACTGATCAGCAGAACGTTTTGAAATTACATTCAAATCAATGGAGCGTTCCACTGCTGCTGTGAGGAACTGTACAACAAATTATGATTAAATAATCAAACATATTCAAATATTTAGATTAATAACCTCTCCTCGCATGTCTTGGACCATTGACCTGGCGCGTGCACAGAAAAGAAGGCTAGACCAATCCAAAAGTAAGGGGGAGGGAGCTTGGGTCGTTTTCTTTTTTCAAATCATGTACCTCTCTCTGTTTTCTGACAAACTCCAATCACTTTAAGACAACAAGATAAAATAACTAATATTTTATGACAAACGAGCATTCCATACTTCCATACATGAACAGTTGTGTATATGCTGTTCATCTTGATAAACTAAACCACTCACAATGTCTAAAGCCAGTTATTGGCACATTCAATACAATATGTTCATATATTTTCACAGTCTTATGGATAAAAAAATGTTGTAAGGTCGCTGACTACCTCAGGTGATCTAGTCTTTCGTATGTGGCTACAAGACTTACAGGCATGCTCTTTTCCAAACCCGGACACATTTGCCTCATACTGTGCCCTCCACCTAAAGTAGTCCCTATACTCCTCCGGATGCTTGTCCAGATAGTGCAGTCTTTCCGCCAGCTCCTTGGGGTTTGCAAAGTCATTGATGTGGATAATGTAACCCTGTCAATTTTGCCCTCAATAAAGTCCTGAACCGAACTGTAATGCAAACATTTAGAACTAAAGTAAAGTGCAATTACTAGTTCGCCACTAGGTGGCAGCGCACCAAAAAACATTCTTCTTCTGCTGTTCACTGGCATCCATCTTGTTTTTGAGCACATAAGCAAAAGCCTGAAAAACGTGACCCAGAGCAGAAATATATATTAAGATTTGAGATTGATTTAGAAAACGAAACATATCCTCGAGGTTGAAAAAATATAGAAACTTAGACGACATCTGTTACAAAACAAAGTTATCTCGGTGAGTGAAAACTATCATTTTGTGTTGATTAGCTTGAAGCTAAAATTGTGAAATGACTTAAAAATATACATTTCAACGTTGCAGTGGATTACATTGGATAAAAAACCAGTCTGGCTATCTACAATAGCAGTGGATGTTACCCCACAGGTACATTTTGTTGTATTTTTGTACACTAATGAATGCATTTTGAAGGGAAATGATTTTGTTTTGTGAAAAGAATGCCAATTTTGATTTAATGTGATATACTTTAATTTTTGTTTCCCAATTCCAGTTTAAAGGTTATAACATTTAAGTTGTTATATAGAAAATATGGACTATTAAAGACCTTATGACGGGTTTTTTTTTAAAAAAATAGTGGATATCAAAATTGCATGACAATGTCAATTTGAAAGAGATTCCGGCAAAAAAAATCCTATATTTTATAAAAAGAATGTGTTTTTCATGAATTTAAGTTGTCTATGCTCTAACCTGTGTGTGACGTCACAGCGGGTAACGCCCATGCATTGAAAACCATGGATCTATGCCACAGGACTGCCTTTTCTCTCTTCTCTCCACTGATGCCCAACACAATACTGCCCTCTACAGGTGACAATTGCTCACTACACATAAATTGCCGTTTTGAGAGTGAAAATGTGTGTCAGGTGGGATTTGAACCTGAGTATCTGGATTTGGCAGTCCATCGACACAACCACTGGACTATCTCAGTGACAACGAAATGTTGCATTCTAGTAGTTATGTTAGACTCGCTGTACACGGCCTTGTCATCTTGAATATCCGCGAAAAAAGAACTAATACCAAATTGTAAACAACTTACAGCGTTGAAACGTACCCGTTCTGACGTCACCAAGGGCTGTGAAGTTTTTTCGTTTCTAAGGGCGTTGCTATGGGGTTATTTCGATTTGGGGGGATCAGACAAAAAAAACAACAACTGATTTTGAAACCTTTAGTAGTTCTCTTCTAATATAAAATGGTATTAAAACTGTATTTCTAAATAAATCAAACCCGTCATAAGGTCTTTAAGTAGTGAAAGATTAAAACAAAGACATTTATTTGAACATTAGTTAATTTTCTACACATTTTTGTGTAGACTGGTTTTTTTAGAGGCTTCTTCTGGTCCTGGTGTTCCTTCCGCTGAAGCTGGATCCCTCTCTGTTCGCCCTGGTGCCTGGTTCCCTGGTCCACTGCCTCATCTAACAGCGCTGCAACGGTCCAATCGGGTTGTGTGATATGGACGCTAAGTAAGGGGTGGTTGGACAATTAAAATTTGAGTGCACTCAAGGGTAACTATATTTTGACAGATTTTCTTTTTGTTTTTTCGGTTCATGAGATCTCAAAAGAATGTGTGGCCGAGTTGTACACCAAATGTCATATTTTTGTGTTCTGAACTAAATATAGAATTTTGGATAAGGAAATAAGGAAACATTTGAATAAGACCCACATTACTTAACTCTTTAATCTGTTGTCCTGTGCTTCATTCGGAGTGGAATGGTCTTCTGACCTTATGATTAGTACAACACCAACCTCTTCATTGTACCTAGATTTTTGATAATGCCTACCATAGATTATTAGCCTGCCTACAAGCAGAATTACCACCGTAGGGTTACACTTGCAGTAATCATTGGTTTGAGAGTCTGTTATCAAGAAATACTGATCAGCAGAACGTTTTGAAATTACATTCAAATCAATGGAGCGTTCCACTGCTGCTGTGAGGAACTGTATAACAAATTATGATTAAATAATCAAACATATTCAAATATTTAGATTAATAACCTCTCCTCGCATGTCTTGGACCATTGACCTGGCGCGTGCACAGAAAAGAAGGCTAGACCAATCCGAAAGTAAGGGGGAGGGAGCTTGGGTCGTTTTCTTTTTTCAAATCATGTACCTCTCTCTGTTTTCTGACAAACTCCAATCACTTTAAGACAACAAGATAAAATAACTAATATTTTATGACAAACGAGCATTCCATACTTCCATACATGAACAGTTGTGTATATGCTGTTCATCTTGATAAACTAAACCACTCACAATGTCTAAAGCCAGTTATTGGCACATTCAATACAATATGTTCATATATTTTCACAGTCTTATGGATAAAAAAATGTTGTAAGGTCGCTGACTACCTCAGGTGATCTAGTCTTTCGTATGTAGCTACAAGACTTACAGGCATGCTCTTTTCCAAACCCGGACAGCTTTGCCTCATACTGTGCCCTCCACCTAAAGTAGTCCCTATACTCCTCCGGATGTTTGTCCAGATAGTGCAGTCTTTCCGCCAGCTCCTTGGGGTTTGCAAAGTCATTGATGTGGATAAAGGCATCCGCTGGGATCTGCTTCTCATAATTGTCTCTGGGAGGACCGAGCACGGTTGGCACACTCCCAAACATCATTGTGCGAAAAAGTTTCTTCGTTATGTAGTCTTTGTATACAGAATTCTCAAATATGGATTGCACATTTGAACGTGGAGGGTCATAGAATGATAGAACCGGGAAGCGTGGAGGACGAGACTTTCTTTTGGATGGCTGTTTCGTTGTGTAGGCAGAAACTGGTAACAAAGACACAGGAAGCTTCAGGTTAGCCTCCACCGCTTGTTTACATTAGCTGTCTGTGCTAACGAGAGACCTGTAGCTTTTCTCAAGAAAGTGGGGGCCTGTGTTCGCTGTGATTGGTCACAATCTGGTCCCGAAACACCAAAACTCGATCTAAAATACAATGACAGTCCAGCACAAATCGGCGCTACTTTTTCTTCAAAAGGACGTATATTCCAATGCACTGCATGGATATGGATTGAATTTTCGTAATTAATACAAAAATAAAGTGAGGTAATGCAGCTTTAACCAATCATGAATGTGACCTTTTTGTTTGAAGTAGGAACCATGGAGGACCACAGTTATGTAAAAGAACTACCAAAACAAGAAAAAAAAGAATTATGCAAAATACAAGAAACCCGTCGTCATAACAGCAAACTTAGCTTATATCGTTAAAAGTTAAAACATTGCTGTAGTTTCTACACAACAGACTCACACGTGCACAATACCTAACTATCTTTAGAGTTTTTAGTGATGGTTTCCCCTATCGCTCTCGCACACACGCACACACACACACACACAGACAAAGCCCTACTTTTTTGTACCTAGTGCAAGAAGAGCCCCTATCCTTTCAGAAAGAATAGCCTGTATTACTGGTGGTGCTACATTTTGGACCAAGTAAAAGTCACAGATTAGAATCACAGCAGGTAACATGATAAGGGAAAAAGCGATGCAAAGTACAATAGAATGTGTGTTTGTGCGTGTATGTACTACACACAAGACACACTGTACATTTCGTGGTAGATGTATGCATGTACATTTACAAATAAATGTTTAAAAGTATTTCTTTCCTGCTAACAAAATGTGATATTCTTAATCACAACAGCCACACATTAATCTGAGGTGGATCATGGCTAAATGTTACATCCAATTATTAGTCTGCGTCCGCCCTGAAGATACTTATTGCAAAAATGATTGCAATTGTCAACTGCGTTGTCAGTTTGTCAACTAAAAACACAAAATATACTTAAGTCCACTTTTATGAATGCCAAAAGGTTTATTTAAAGACTACAAATAAAATAGGCTAGCAATTCGGAAAATGGACGTTTCCGTTAAGGATCTCACTCGAACTACGTGAAAACTGATTAAAGAATTCTGAACATCAGCGGTGAGTAACCTATAAATAAACTCAACCTTAAGGTATCGGCAAAGTATCAGTTCTACATCATGGTGCTTTAGCCCCTTAGGCTTCGCTGTGTGTTCTCTTGAAGCGTCCAGCTTCCCGCCAGAGTGAACTCAATGCTCCAATCACGTGCCAGTCCCATCTATATATAGCCCTCTGCCACCCGCACCTGCCACTTTTAACTCTGGCGCCATTGAGAAGAACTCTGAAGAACTCATCAGCTGAAGATGTCGTCGCCTTCTCCCACTCGTTCGAAGACCCCGTCGCCCATCCGGCGTCGGACGAAGAAGGTGCAGCGGCTGCCGAGTGAAGATCTCCCGCAAGGACTGGCACAGCCTGTGCTTCCTGTGCCTGGAAGTTGACCACTACCAGGGGGAGGAAGCTAGCTGCGAGGCGTGCCTCTCTCTCCCCAGGGAGGAGAGAGAGCGCCGCATGGCGTATGCTAGCTCCGCGGTGGCTCGCCCGAGTTTCTCCCAGGAAGACGAACTCGAGGTTGAGTATGTGCCGCTGGACCTGCCTCCCGCGCCCAGGGAGTGGGGAGACTTTGTCGTGGAGGACGAGCGTGAGGAGGACCAGGGTTTCTTCATCACGCTAAATGAGGCTTCCTCCCGGTGCGAGCAGCCGGACCGGTTCCCGCTCGACCACATGCCCCGCCTCTTCACGGCTGCGGCGAGGAGCATGGAGGTCCCATTTCCCCCACAACCCACCCAGGCGAAGGAGGACTTCACATCGGTGGGCTCTTGACAGAGGGGGAGGAAGAGACAGGCACCCACGCTGTGTCCACGCATGGGACCCGTCTTCCACTACGCCACATGCGACTGGTCCAAGCCGCTGTGTGCTAAGAGACCTGCACTGGGGTACGGTCCGTACTGCGAGGTCCAAGACTGGTCCTGGACCAAGGGAGTTCCGGACGTCGAGGACGCGGTGAGGCTTGCGCTTCTCCCCAAGTCATCGGTGTGGCCAGGCAGAAGACCGCTCCTCCCCACAGACAAGGACAGGGTGTCCATGTCAGTGCTGGACCGGTGCTACGCCAACGCAACGCAGCACAGGTCCCCACAGGGGTCCTGGGCCAGAGTTCCGTCGGCGGACTCTGGTCGGATCCGTCTCCACACATCAATCTTCTGGAGATGGAGGCAGTGCGCAGGGTGCTGCTGCACTTTGCCCCACTACTACAGAGGAGGCACGTGATGGTGCGTTCAGACAACACCACCGTCGTGGCCAATATCAACAGACAGGGGGGCACGAGGTCCCCCCCCCTGCATTTCCTTGGCAGCGACATCCTGCTCTGGGCTGCGGAGCACCTGCAGTCTCTCAGAGCACGCCACGTCCCGGGAGACCGGAACACAGGGGCGGACCTAATGTCCAGGGGGGGCCCAAACAGGGACGAGTGGGTCCAAACAGGGACGAGTGGGGCCTGGCCCCACGGATGGCTGCACAGGTCTAGCTGAGGTTCGGTCAGCCGTTGATCGACCTTTTTCGCCAGTGCAGACAACGCTCTATGCCCACTCTGGTTTGCGCTGCGGACCACGGACAATCCACCCCTGGGGGTGGATGCCCTGGCTCACTACCCTTGGCCGGGGGGCCTCTTATATGCGTTTCCCCCGACTCACCTCTTGCCGATTCTGCTGAGGAGAATCGAGCAGGAGGGTTGGGAAGTAATTCTCATCTCTCCAGACAGCCTGCATGCCCGCTGGTTCCCGTTCCTGAGGGCATGGCGGTGATGGAACTGTGGCCGCTCCCGGACGAGCCTGGGGCTCTGGTCCAGGGAGGAGGGACGCTCCACTCGCGCCCGGTGCTGGGCCACAGACTCTGGGTCTGGAAGCTGAGAGGCAGAAACTCGCGGACCTGGGTCTCCCCCAAGCGGTGATGGAGACCATTCAGGGGGCGAGAGCCCCTTCCACTATCAGAGCCTACAGCTGTAGGTGGAAGGTTTTCAGCGACTGGTGCGCGGTACGTTCTTGGGACCCCATGTCCTGCCCTCTGGAGGGGTTGCTGGGGTTCCTACAGGAACTGCTGGAAAAAGGGAGGGCTGCAGGCACCCTGGCGGTGTTCGCAGCAGCCATTGCCTCAGGCCACGGGGGGTTCAGAGCCTTCTCATCCTGCTCCCACCCGCTGGTCAAGCGTTTCCTTCGGGGGGCCCATGGGAAGAGGCCCATTCTCAGTAGAACGCCCCCACTCTGGGACCTGGGGGTCGTCCTGAGAGGATTGTCGGGGTCTCCTTTCAAGCCGGTGGCCCAAGCCAGCCTCGAATGTGTGGCTATCAAAACCGCCCTTTTACTGGCTCTGGTCTCAACAAAAAGGGCGGGTGACCTATGCGCGCTCTCCATTCGTCCAGACTGTCTGACCTTTGGAGCCGAGGATGGTCTGGTAGAGCTTTGGCGGCGGCATCTCTTGTGTCCAATCAGGATGCTCAAATCCTATCTGGCTGCTACAGCTTCCGTCAGACGCTCTGATCAGCTGTTTGTGTGTCTGCACCCCAAAGAATAGGGGCGCACCGCTGACGTCTCAACGGCTGGCGCACTGGATATCTCATACATCAGAACTGCACAATCACTCGAGCACTTTAAATCCCTGCTTAAAACGCATCTTTTTTCTTTGGCTTTTACTACCAAGTAGACAGAGACAAATTTTTCGATTTCTTTTTGTATATACATTTCTGTATTTTATGTGTTTTTATTTTATAATTTTTCCTCGCTGTCTGTTCAGCACTTTGGTAAGCCTAGGCTGTTTTAAATGTGCTCTACAAATAAAGATTTGATTGATTGATTGATTGATTGATATCTCGGGTGATTCGCTTGGCTTACCAAGCCCAAGAATTGGTTCCCCCGGTGGGGTTCAGGGCGCACTCCACACGTGGAGTCGCGGCCTCTACGGCCCTGCTCCGGGGGGCCTCGGTGGAGGACGTCTGCCAAGCCGCTTCCTGGGCTTTGTCCTCCTCTTTTGTTCAGTCGTATCTGGTTGACGTCTCGGAACGATCGATCGCCCATTCCGTTCTGAACGCTGGGATCTAATTCCACCGTGTGGCGTTCTGAGAGAGTCGCCACGCGGCCCATCGTGGGATTCTAGTCCACCCGTCAGGCGCTCTTGGTAGAGGCATCCTGGTGTGCGGCTTACTTCCTTTAGCAGGGGGGTCACCATTCCTCGGGAGCTCTTGGTAGAGGCGTCCTAGGAATGTGTTCTGCCTTCCCCTACAGCAGTGTTTGGTGTTGGGGTGTCCTTGGTAGGAGCAGCCCTAACTCTGATTCCTTGCCCCTTAGGGGCTCGTCAGTGTCCCTTAGGCGTCCTTGGTAGGAGCGGCCTCGGACACTGCTTTTCTTCCTTCCTGCCCTGCGTCCACTCACCTTGGCGGTGCTGTGGAGAGTCAGGCAGGGCTCCAATCACTGTACGCTGGCCTGATGGGAGTACATCTCTCTACGGCTACGCGTGTTACCCACAGCGAAGCCTAAGGGGCTAAAGCACCATGATGTAGAATTGGTAGTTACCTGGTGTAACTTAAGTTCTACGAATGGTGCGTAGCCCCTTAGCTACGGGCCCATCAGTCCAGCCTGGCTTTGGCAGAGTTCAAAGTGGCAGGTGCGAGCTGTAAAGGGCTATTTATAGATGGGACTGTGTTACGCGCCCAGCTATGGGATTGCGTGCACTCCTCCCCTCGCTCTAAGCTTTTCTGTGTGCAGGATAG